AGGACCCTACGTGGGATCCCTACCACCTCTCTGGCCCCATATTCGTATCAGATTTCTCTTTATGTTCATTCTTCCAGCCACACTGGTCTCTCTTCAGCTCCTTGAACATAGTTGCTCTTTCCAATCTCCAGCACAAGCTGATTCCCCTGCCTGGAGTGCCCAGCACCCTCCCCTCCTGCTGCCCCCATTCTCCATCCCAGTTAAATCCTGCTCAAGCTTCAGATCTCAGCTTAGGCTTCTTTACTTTCAGGAAACCTTCAGGTCTCCCCCTGTGCCATGTCCTCATGTGCTATATTTGTTTCCTATAATTTTGTAATTGTATGATTATTTGATTCATGGCCTTCCTGCTACACTGTAAGGTCCCAGGGGGCTGGATTCACAGTCTGTTTTGCTCACCCTGGTACCTCTGGTGCCTCACACAATATCTGGCATATAGTAAGTATTTCATAAATGTCTGCTGAATGAATGAATGAATGATGGCTTATTACCCACCCACAAGAAAACATCAGCTTATACATTTATTCTCTTGCAGAGTCTTTGTATAATTCTAGCATAAGGAACACTGACCTAGAGAGAAACACCAAGGAAATAGCACATTATCATTTATAATCATCCAGAGTTCAATATGCTCATTCAGGAATCCAAGCCATGACGGATCCCTTTCCTATAACATAGGGCCTTGCTCACCAGACTTCCGGTTCCCCTCAGATTTACATTGTCCAGCCCTTTGAAGACAGGCTAAGTCATGTGATTTGCTTTGGCCATTGAAATGTGAGCAAAAGTGATAGGCGTCAACTCAAGGCAGAGGCATTTGAAAGCTGGTGTGCAACCCTGCAGGTCGGCCCGCCTGTGTTAGTTTCCGGTGGCCGGCCGAAGAGTGTATCACAACGAGTAGCTTTTAACAAGAGAAATTTATTCTCTCACAGTTCGGGAGGCTAATAGTCCAAAATCAAGGTGTCAACAAGGCCATGATTCCTCCGAGGCCTCTAGGGAGGAATCTTTCTTGGACTCTTCCAGGTTCTGGGGCTTGCTGGCAATCCATGGCATTCCCTTGTCTTGTAGATGCATGACTCCAGTCTCTGCCCCTGTCTTCCCATGGCCATCTTCAGTGTATTTCCTCCGTGTCTCTGTGTCAAGATCTCCCTTGCCGTTCTCTTAGAGGGATACCAATTATTAGATTTGGGGTTC